CACTCAGATCTAGTGATAAGTAATAAAATGCCTCAATTCTTTTCTGAAATACACATTCTTTTATAGTTACTGAAAATGCAAATTATAGAGGAATTTTTGTGTGCACGAAAACTTAGTTTACTGCTTTGTCCAATCAAAGTAAGTGATACATTCCAATTTATTATTGCTGTGGCAATTACATTTGTTACCCACAATAGGCTCAACCCTGCTCCTATTGAAATCACTTTAAAGCACTGACTTCAGTAGGAATAGAAGTTGGCCCCAAAGACCAACAGTGAAATCCCTACTTTAGTGGGACCAGGATTTCACCCTACACTACACTGCGTGGAATGGAAGGAAGGCAGCAAAATGGTGCAGAATGCCTTAAGCAGCCTGCTCCCACACATTAAGACCCAGAGACCAAGGAAACTCCTCCATGCAAAAATCACTTGTTCAAGGCTCCAGGAAAGGACAACAACTGCATGGCATCAATTCCCCCGAAAAATGGGGATTACCTGTGTAGAATAATACTGACCAATCGGTAATGTTGTATGTATGTTTTCTGTCCTGATTTAAGAACCCACCCTCAGAGTAAGCCTCAAGTGAAAAGGCCATGAAAACATGAGCACTTCAGGAGCCATGTTGCCATGAGGTGTGGGGTTGGGGAAAGTATGGAGACACCTCAGGGATGATCTTGGTCTCCAACAGGTGTCTTAACATCCACATGTATCTTGTGCTGCGGGAAGGGGGAAGCAGATCCCCTCCCCAATACAACTATTTGGAGGAAACTTCACCACTGAAAATTCATTGCATGTCTTAACCCTTACATGTTTTCTGTGCATAGGGGGCAATCTAAACCTCAACATATTTCCTTGTGACTCAGGAAAACCAATTTCTCTTGTACCCCTATTAGGGCACTTCCTCTTTATTCAGCAATGTTTCCAAAATAAATCAGACACACAGGAAAGAAATGGAAAAAAATAATTACATTCAAAAACTACATTTTTTTTACAAGAGACAAGAAATAAAATCACCTGAATTTTCTGAGGATGTAACTAGTCATTTTTATTACTTATTAATCTTTGGTGCTAGCAAATCGAGGCTATTGTATGACTGTTGTATTGTTACCGCTAACAACAATTAACTACTGTTCCTTTACTATACCTGCTGTTCTGCTGGCACTCACTGTAAATCCCACTGAAATCAATGGAAGGTTAGAGCACACTTGGGTAGGTTCATTCTACTGCAATGTATCTAGAATGTTTGGAATCAGTCAGTGGTTAATATAGCACACAAATCTTGTCAACTCCAGTGAGTTATCAGACATACAAAAACCTGTGAGACAATTCTTATTACATATATAGCAACATTTCCCAGTTACAAATTCTTCTTGTCCAACACAAAATTTAGACCTTGTGACAGAGTGCTGAAAGCAAGCAGCTGACCCAGCACTCTGGTCACTTAGGCACTAAGTTTCACCCCAGAGAAACCCTGATTGAGGGATCAAAGACTTAATTACCTAATGGTCAAATGAACTAAGGAGCTAATTATCCCATCAGCTGAGAATGTAGTTAAAAAGCACAGGAAGGGAGTGCAGAAGAGAGGGGCTAGTAGAGCCTAGGGGAAGCTAGGTCTCTGGCTGGTGAGATTCCTTCTGCTTCCTCTCTCTGGAGGAAGGGCTGAGGATTGAAAGACATTGTGGGTAGAATGTGATGGTCGCTTGGTGGTGGTAACAGAAATAAAAACTCACAGAGGTGTTGACAATCAAAAGATGTCCATGGCTGCTTGTGAGGAACTCCAGGGCAGGAGAGGAGCATCCCCAGTTACTGGCCCTAGGTTAGTTTCATAGTTCTTTCCATTCTCGTTCTGCCCCAGGCTCCCCATCCCATAAACTGTCTTCAATAGACCCATATAAAATACTAAAAACGGGATTAAGCCAGAACACACTATCCAAACACCCCCAAAAGGGTTTAGAATTTGATCCCAGATGCAAATTTTGCAGCCTGCTAAATCTCTATAATGGACCACACAAACTCTGAAGAGGAGTAACACTTGGATTTTTTGTGGGATTATCAATCTGGATTTGGATGTGAATTTTGTGGTTGGCCAGAACTGCACAAATCAATGCCATGGGAGGAATGAAAACTGCATATCCAAAGACCCAGAACTCTGAAGGCTTCAAAAATCCAGATCTATATCCATATTTTACAAGTTCTATATAAATTGTCACCTGGTGCATATTTGGATGAACAACTGTTTTCCACTTACACAAGTTTCTTTTTGCCGAGTATGATCTATAAAACCAAGGAAATGTGCTTCTTGTGAACTCAGGCTTAGCTTTGCTAGTAGTAAAAATGTATTGTTGTCTTTTGGACTTTCTCCAGTGGACTCAGTAAGGAGAGAAAGAGAGGGGAGGTAAAAAAAATATGGGGGGGAGGGGAAATATGAAGGACAGAGAAAAGATAGAGGAGATTGCAATAAAGAGATACAGAGACAAAAAGATTGCCAAAGTAAAGGAAGGGAGGGAACTAGAAAAATAAGGGCACAACTGTAAACTACAGGACAAGGATGATGTCTCTCTGCATATACCTGCCATGGAAACACCCCACTCTTGATTGGGACCTTTGGTCCCAATTACAGTATTATATACTGTAATATAAATACAATCATTTTAATATAATCATGAGAGATCAAAGTTCATTAAATAGGGAAAATGTGAGCTAAATACAAAATTTAGGCTAAAAAACATGAAATAAGAAATTATAATTACAGCTCTGCTTGGAATCGACTTTCTGTGTTAACATGCTGTAAAACAAAGTACGTGGAAGAAAGAAAAGGAAAAACAGGCAAGAAGGAGGGTTGGGTCTGGAAAACAGAAATGGAAGACTCAGTAAGTACAAAAACACAAACAGAATGGAGAACAGTTTAAAAAAATGGGAATCCCATTGATCCATGAATGGGAATTTTGCCAGGGATTTTAAGGGGCCAGGATTTCACCCCAGTAGCACAATAAGAGTGGGTTGTCCAATATGTCTTTTCATTTAGAAATATTCCATACCAAAGATTAATCTTTCATATATTTTTCCACTACTTTAACAAAGAATACAATTACTTCAAAGCCGAGCAAGACTCGTCTCAATCTGTGTCCTAAAAATGAGGGCTTGGGACCTGAAAGAAGAAATAATAAAAGAGGGCAAATCTTCCCACATATTGGCTTTAGTTCCCTGGCAGAAGGAAAAGGTGGTATTTTAGACTTCCGTAGGACTTCCTGACAAGCTTAAAGTCCAGAACATATACGTGTTAGCAGGATCAGAACCTTAAACCTTAACAAATCCTCTTTGTGGGTGATGTACATAACGGTATTGCCCTTTTTGTACTGCAGACTTTCCCTCTTATTCAAGACTGTACTAAACAAACCCTGATTGTGATTTCATTGTTACTGGCATTTAAAAAGAAATGCAGCATAAGATCTATGCGCGAGGCTGCTGCACATGTCAAATTCTGACAATGATTACTGACCTTTCATGTATGTAATGAGATTGGCTCGAAATAATTTAAATAAATAACCGAAATTATTCAGTTGAAAATGGCATTTTCATTGAGACAAAGACTGTTTCTATTAAAAAAATATTAAGCAGCTATTTTATGAACCAGTGTCCTGGTCTTCTCTGTGATTTCTGTGGCCAGCGGAGCAGCTCCGGATTCTTTAATTATAAAATCTGGAGATACTGGTCTTTTATAATTGCTTCTGTGAATTGGGCATGAAGTGTCTTGTTTAATTATTTACTGAGCTAGCAGACTCTTTCAAAATACCAAACTAATGTAATTCTTATTTATAAAATATTCACAATAAAAAATAGGGGTTTTTACATCAAAAAATATAACTCAATTTTTATATAATATTTGGATCTGTCAAGTCTCAGATGAAAATGGACAAACGTGTTTAATCTCTGTGCTCTCCACAAATATCAGAGATGGAAGGGAGCAAACACACACACACACACAGAGCAAGGAAGGAAGGGAACAGAAACTACACAATATGCTCATTTTGAGCTGGCAGTCGGCCTTTGTATGTCTCTTTAAAATGTCTTTCTAGTTGTCCTCTGTATCAGAGGATGTGGCTGGCCTGCAGTGGAAGCGGCGAGCTAAAGTACAGATGCTTTAGGCAGCATGCCCTCACACATTTTATGGCAGAAAACTTCATAAAAGTGAATGATGTTTTCCTCTCTACAGTTCTTCCCTCCCTCAGAGGTAGTAAGAATGGGGAGCAAAGCTAAGAAGCCAATGGCAGCATTGATACTGAGCCAGCTTGGGTATGTATAGTATATACAGTTAAACCAGGTTAAAGCAAACCATAGTCAAGACCAAGAACTGTCTTATTTGCAGCCTGCCTGATAGGCCCCATCTGTTTATTCCTCCTGTGCTGTATTTTTATTGAGGATCACCTCAAAATTTCAGTGTCTGTAGAGCACAGTCATAGCAAGTTAAGAAGCACTGGATTTTGAAGGCAGCCCAGTCGGCTTGGGAAGATCTTCAAAAGCCTGACGTTAAGCAGGCACAGACTGCACTCAGCTTCACCTCAGGGCATGTTTAAGTCTCCAGCAGTCCAAGTACTAGATATGATGCCTGAGTCAGAGATTTCGGTTTAAGACGACATGCAAATTTTAGACAGACGAGGCTCCAGCTACCCCTGCTCTCAGACGCTTCTTTTCTTGGACTTGTTCCCTCTCTCGCCTACAGATTCCTTCCCTCGCTGTAAGATTTACACCAACAAGGGAAAATATGACACTATCAACAGGCAGCCTCTGATACTGTATTATACAATTCAATAAAACAGATGACATATCAAAACTGGAACTAAGCAAACACTGCAGACACTTGCAGGAAAGAGTTAAGGAGTCTATTAAATGCCAACAAATACTGGTCTGCTGAGAGATGGCAACACAAGGCCCCATTTTAGTATCTGGAAATGAACAACAAAAGAAATTACTTAGATAAAGTACATCAGACATGTAACTAACCTTATAGAGTAAAGGTGATTGTCCTAGCTTCAGAAGTGCGATTTTATTGGTCACATTTGTCATGACTTGAATCAGGACTAAATCTTCTACAGTCCCATACTGCACATCAATGACTTCTGCCTGTAAAGAGAAAAGGTAATTAAGGCTCTATTGTTTGCCATTTACCATTAATGCTTGTCCATGGTGCTTTAGTCAGTACAAGAAGGAAGTAAATTCTACTGGACATTAGCATGTTGCAAACTGACTGGCCTGTGTGGACCCTGCTAGTGTGCACTGAAAGTTCCCTAGTGCAGAGTAATGTCGTCCTGCATTAGGGACCTTTTAGCGTGCAACATGCTAGTGTGCATTAGAATTTACACCCCCTTAGTGAGAACAGTCACACTGTGTAAACAAGAATTTAGTGCCACTAAAACAAAATTACCAGTAAGAGCAACAAAGTGCTCAATCAAAGTTCTATAATTAACTTATCTGTATTTCCCAATCATGTTTAAAACTCCAAAGGGCTTGAGAATTAAACATGACTGTTAAATACACTTCTTTCAGCACAATTTTCCACCACAATCATTGGCTGTGATTTAAGGAGCCCAACAATTTTCACCTATGATCGTGATTTGGCAACAATTCTTTTAATCTAAATTCATTAATGTAAATATAACATTCCATGCTCTACACTCACTGGAGTTGTAGGATCTAAAATCAACAGAATTATGCCGATGCAACCAGAACTGAGAAATCTTCTAATTCATTTTTGAAGTGAAATCACAGATTCATATAATACTTCAGTTAAGCAAAAATGATTATATTAGTCACTCAGGACAATACCCTAATTCCCCCCAGCCTGCCACATTTGTCTTGTGAGATATGGTTCACATGGCTCTTGAGCTATCTATCTATAGCATTAAAAACCCTGTTTCTAATTATCTATCCATCATCCAGGCATTTATGATGAGATTATCTCTACAGTATTTGAAAGACCACCTCTGAAAATCTGTCACTAAAAATGGGCTTTAAAAATTGTGGGGGACTTCCCATGTATGTGTAACCCAGCCCATGTGGAGTCTATACTTCCTTATTGAGCTATTTCATAAGGACACTGTGAGGCCTTACTAAACAGTGTTTGCAGAGGGCTATCTAAGTCAAAATATTATTAAACCCAAGCACTAGGAGAGGTGGAAAAATAACTCACAAATTCTTTTTATACTGGAGGATTTCTTTTCTCCCTCCCCTCATAATTCAAGAAGATTGTGCTCAGTGTTTCCACAAAAATTCACCTTTGGGCAGAGACGAAGCATGGAGGAATGTCAGCCTTATGTTGTCATTTTGGAATATTGTCCAAATATTGTTGTTGTCAGGACTAGTGATTAGAATATACACTGTGACCGCTATACAGAAATATATTACCAAGAAATCAATCATACGAACAGCTATAAATCAATGCAGTACAAGAACATTCTTTCAATGTAATAATAATAATTAATAACAACCACCAAATGCCCCTCAGGGAAACTGAATAAAATCAAAAGAATTTATCAAAGTAAGATTCAAATAATCCATAGAGGAACTGTACAGTACAAAAAGGACTTACCTCTTAGTAAGCACATTTTGGGCAATTGCAAAACCTTAACTTTAACTTAACTTAACACACTACCAACACACTCTTATCAACCACCTGGCTCCACTTTCTACCCGCAGCATTCCACTCCTCCCTCCTCACAGTCCAGCAGTATGGACTCCCACTACCCACTGCACTCAACACCCATCCCCTGCAGTTTGGCCCTGCTGAAGCACAGCACCCACTGCATTGTACTCCAAAGGAGGAGGTTGGGTATGATCCCTGGACATACAGTAATCTGTAGCTGTCCCGGGACCTCTCCTCCTCTGGAGACCTTCCCTTCCCCCATCCTTCTCCCTGCTGATGTATTTTTGTCATCTGACTCTCTCCTCTGGTTGTTGTCTTTTAATAAAGGAATTGTGTTGATTTGAAAGCAATCTTTATGCTATTAAGTGAAAGCAAAAGGAGCACTGCAAAGCAACATGCAATTATATTAAACCCCCTTATTGCATCATGTGCGCCAGTCACCTCCTAGCATTACAAGCACTACAATCCCGAGCATAGGAGCAAATATTAGTGGCTTTCAGCTTCAAATTGCTGCCTCAAGGCATCCCTGATCCTTATGGCCCTGTGCTGTTCCCCTCTAATAGCCCTGGTCTCTGGCTGTTCAAACTCAGCCTCCAGGCGCTAAGCCTCCGCGGTCCAGCCCCGAGTGAAGCTTTCACCCTTTCCTTCGCAAATATTATGGAGCGTACAGCATGCAGCTAAAAGCATAGGAATATTGTCATCAGCCATGTCCAACTTCCCATACAGGCATCACCAGCAGGCTTTTAAATGGCTAAATGCAAATTCAACAGTCTTTCTGCACTTTCTCAGCCTGCTGTTGAACCACTCCTTGCTGCTGTCAAGTTGCCCCATGTATGGCTTCATAGGCCACGGCATTACGGGGTAGGCGGGGTCTCCCAGGATCACAATGGGCATTTCAATTTCCCCTACGGTGATCTTCTGTCCCTGCTTGCAGCTTCTTGAACAGGCCAGTGTTCTGAAAGATGTGTGTGTCATGCACCTTTCCGGACCAGCCTCTGTTAATGTGCGTGAAATGCCCACGGTGATCTACAAGCACCTGGAGAACCACTGAGAAATACTCCTTGAGATTAATGTACTCGGTGGCTAGGCAATCTGGTGCCAGAATTGGAACATGCGTGCCCCTCCCATTCCGTCCCCACTCCGCAGTTAGGGAAGCCCATTTGTGCAAAGCCATCCTCAATGTCACGCACGTTGTCCAGAGTCACGGTCTTTCGGAGCAGGTTGCAATTAATGGCCCTGCACACTTTCATCAACACGACTCCAGTGGTCAACTTTCCCACTCTGAACTGTTTAGCGACTGATCAGTAGCAGTCTGGAGTAGACAGCTTCCACAGTGGAATCACCACGTGCTTCTCCAGAGACAGGGCAGCTAACATTCTCGTGTCCTTGCACTGCAGGGCTGGGGCGAGCTAATCACACAGTCCCAGGAATGTGGCTTTTCTCATGAAAAAGTTCTGCGGCCACTGCTCGTCATCCCAGATGTGCATCACAACGTGATCCCACGACTCAGTGCTTGTTTCCCGAGCCCAAAAGCAGTGTTCCACTGTGGTCAGCACCTCTGTGAATGCCACAAGCAATCTCATGTCATAGCTACTTTGCATGGCGAGATCAACTCCTCTTGATCAGAGCAAACGGCATACTGGTCAGCAGTTTGGGATCCATTCCTGCAGCCCGAAGAGGCAGGGCAGGGCGCACAGTACACAAACCGTTGAAAGATGTCCCCAAATGCGAATGGAAGCACAGGGATTGCTGGGATGTGAAGCAATGCATCATGGGGCACTGGGACTGGACCCAGGATACCCCGTGACCCCCTCCACCTTCCCACAAGTCTTAGCGGCAAAACAGAAAGAGGTGTTCTGTGGGATAGCTGCCCAGAGTGCACCACTCCAAATACCACTGCAAGTGCCGCAAGTGTGAACACGCTATTGCGCAGGCAGCTGGCAGTGTGAACACAAAACAGCATTTTTCCTTCTGTGCTCTCTGAGAGGCACTGTAACTGCTGGCGCAGTAACTTTGCCAGTGTAGACGCGTGCCCGAAGTATGCCATGTATAGTGTGCGCTGCCAAAACCATGATCTTGACGTGCCATGCAACGTAATAAAATGCTTCAGCAACAAAAAGACATTAGCTTTAAAAATCAACTGCTTGAAATGCAAGGGCAGAAAAACCTTATACTTTGCACAGGTGATTTTTTTAAAGTGTGTTGTTTCTAATATCTAGAGAGCATGAGAACTGCTTACTAAGAAAACACAAATGGGAGGTATAGTTCAGATAAAATTTAAAGTACATTATTGGTGTTGTGAACATGTTATTTGAGAGAGATGACAAAAGCATAGCTGAAGAGGTTTTCAAGAGAGTGGAACATATTTCATGTTTTTACCTACACGGATAATCCCAACTGAAAAATCTCTCAGAAGGAACATGAGCATAAACCACCCCGGACAACTGAGAACAAAGAATTCACTAATGTACTGTATAGAAGTTTACACAAAATTTTACATCATTCTATAGCTCCCAATTTTTCTTTCACAAAGTGCCCTTAGAAAATACATACTATATACAATAATTACTTGGAGTCTCAAAAGCCATAATGGTTTGAGAGGTTATAATAAAAATATATATGCTTCATTCTGAGGAGGCCTCTGATATAGTTCCTTTGTGAAATGTGCCTTTTCCACTTATCCTCAAGCAAACTGAATATCACAGCTTTCACCGCTCAAATGAGAAAAAACACATTTAATTTTCCCCAGGCACAAATCCATATACAAAGATATAATAGGGTAAATTGTCAATCCATTTGCTTCCACAACATGCCTTTGTGAAAATGAGGTGCTCATTTATATTCATAAGAATGGCCCTACTGGGTCAGACCAAAGGTCCATCTAGCCCAGTATCCTGTCTTCCGACAATGGCCAGTGCCAGGTGCCCCAGGGGGAATGAACAGAACAGGTAATCATCAAGTGATCCATCCCGTAGCTCATTCCCAGCTTCTGGCAAACAGAGGCTAGGGACACCATTCCTGCCCATCCTGCCTAATAGCCATTGATGGACCTATCCTCCATGAATTTATCTGGGTTTTTTTGAACCCTGTTATGGTCTTGGCCTTCACAAATCCTCTAGCAAGGAGTTCCACAGGTTGACTGTGCATTGTGTGAAGAAATACTTCCTTTTATTTGTTTTAAACCTGCTGCTTATTAATTTCATTTGGTGACCCCTAGTTCTTTGATTATGAGAAGTAGTAAACAACACTTCCTTATCTACAACAAGGAGTCCGGTGGCACCTTAAAGACTAACAGATCTAAAGACTAATCTGTTAGTCTTTAAGTGCCACCGGACTCCTTGTTGTTTTTGTGGATACAGACTAACACTGCTACCCACTGATACTTGACTTCCTTATCTACTTTCTCTACACCAGTCATGATTTTACAGACCTCAATCTATTAATCTCTCCTCATACTGAAGCCGTTCCATACCCCTAATAA